CCGTCGGGCAAGGGGTGCCCCAGGCGCTTCGCTCGTTTCTCTTCGCCGCCCCATGAATAGGGCCACGCCACGGCCAGCGCCTCATGCGTCGGTGGCTGGATCGAGGCGTCGGACAGCGCGCGGGCATCGGCACCCCGGCATACTGGACGCCGGATGGAAAACAGCCCCGGTGCGCCTTAAAAAAATGTGACACGCACTTGGTGGTGGTGGTGTCTCCGCCAGCCGAGGCATGCCGCCTGGAGCCGCGCATGCAACCGACTCCCCCGGGCCCCCGTGGGAGTGGGTCTATTTTGACCTCTGGTCATCGTGGGCATCCAAGGCGTCCGATCGCCGCGATGCTGACTGCAATTTGGACATTCCCCCGACCATGGCCAATGCCTTCCTCGGACAAGCACGAGCCTGTCGAGGCTTCTCCTGCCCGCTCGGGCGGCGCGGCCGCACTGGCTCCTTGGCACATGGCGACCGAAGGGCCGAGGCAAGCACACCCCCGCCGTTGCGACCTTCAAGCGGTCGCCACCGCCGCCCTGTTGGGCCGTGAGGCCGCTTGCTTGCCATGTCACCAACAGATGCCCCCGAAACCACGCAGAGGCACCCGGCCCAGGGGACCGGTGGCCCTCCGATGTGACGCAAGAGTCCGATCAAAAAAAAAAAAAACCCAGCCAGCCGGGTGCCTATGCCTCACACATGTCCCAAGCACACCCATTGCTCTCCGCTGGCCTCCGGGGCACCTGCCCGGGGTCTTGGATGCACGGCGCGCCGACGCCGAGATCCCACCGAAGCCCTTCTCGGAGAGTGACCACCGTGGCCATGGGGCCGGTCCTGCAACGAGGCGACTGTCTCAGATCCCGGAGGATGTGCCCTCCCTCCTTTTTTCCGAACCCTTCCCTTCCCCCTCGCACATCGTATGCCACCCGCCCACCGCCGGGGGTCAACATCAGCACGAGGGCACATGCCCGGTGGTCGGGAGCTCCATCCGGCGCGCCCCGCTTATTCCCTTGTCCGGCCCGAGGGCATTCTCTCCATGCCGTGACAGAGGCATGCCCTTCTGACGCTCCAGCGACCGGCATGCCTCTCCCGGTCCCCGTGTCCTGGGGCCGCCACCCTCTTCGGCGGTGCCTCCCGCTCCCTGCCAGGGCTCGGGAAGCGGGCCAAAGCCCCCGCCCATGCCTCGGTCCAAATGGCCCCCATCGAGCCGAGCCTGTGAACCTGCCGCCCTATTCCGGCTTCCTGTCTGGTGCGTGGCGCACCGCGGGCACCCGGCCGGCAGCGAGGTGCCCCTCCGAGGCATGCCAACTGGCGCCAGCGATGACCACACAGGAGGCAAGGGCAGTACCTATGCGCAGGAGCGGCAGCAACAGCAAGCCTCAACGCCTGACAGAATGGCCCCCCCCCTCACCCCCACGCACACAGGCGCACGCCTCCACATAGCCATCACCGACTGCTCCTCACCGCGGGGCCCCCTCGCAACGGCTGCCACGATGTGCCCGAACACCCCGTGCTCACGCTCTCCGATGGCACGCGATACGGGCCCAGGGGGCTTGTTTTGTTTCGGGCCCACCACGCTCCTCAGGGCAGCAGGCCGGCCACCCATAACCCGAGGCCGGGTCGGCTTTGCCTCGGCCTTCGGGCGAAGCAGGCCAGGCTTCAAACCCGCGGCGATCGAGGGGGATGGAGGTCGGATGGAGGCACCGCCGCGTGGTAGCCCCCGGCGAGTGGCAGGGTTGTCACGATCCCGGTCCTTCGTCAAAGGGGCCAAGCTATGGCGAAAGCCACACCGGAAATATGCCACAGGCCCGGGGCATTTTGCGCACGAAAGGAGGTCGTACCGAACCAGGGGAAGATCGTCGCCCGAAAGGAACAGCCCAGGGGCTCGACCGCGGACGGGTTCGTCGGCAAGCAACATGGAAGGAGCCTCGCCAGTGGTTCAAAGTGCCTTGAAGGGAGGCCCAAGACCCGGTGTTCGCAGGTCTCACCGGTGCTGCCGCCATGTTCTCGCGTGCTCTTCGACGCCGAGCTGCTGAGGCCTTCGCTCTCCGGAAACTCCGCGGCAGGATCCCCGCCTTCCTCAACCTTTGGGATCGGTCACGGGCCCGAGCTCCGCGACCGGGCCGGCCCACACGCGTCTCCTTCTCGCTCCCCCGTCGAACGTACGCACACCCTTCGACTCTCCTGGTCACCGTGCTGATGCCCTGCCCCGCATTCCTCCCTGGAGGAAGCCCATTGAGCATGGCAAGCCATCCACCGGATCGTGCCACACGTTACCGATACCGAAGTGGTAGGCCCCTCTGCCGGCCACAGGGGGATCTCGCTCCGGCAAAGGCACAGTATCAACGCCACTCGATGGTCGGCCTTTTCGCAATCCTCGGAGGACGATCGCCATATCGGGACATGGCACACAGTGCCACGGGGACCGACGCGCACGGTCTGCGACTCAGCAGGCAATTGGATTCGGCGAGTCTGGTGGCATGCCCCCACATGGCCCCATCTGGCGGGGAGACGCCAGCAAGGGACCACATGGCCGGGCAAAGTGTGGGCCCAGTGCGCAGGAGGCGGGCAGGCCGGGCGCCGATCGAGTGGGGGACGAGCTGACACCACGGTGAGAGGGTGGCATTTTGGCGACAAAAAAGACCGGCGGCGACATGGCCCCCAGACACGGCATAGGTCCCAGCAGGGGGGTCCAGGCGGTTGCGATGCATGGCTTCCACCACCCACCTGCCCCGGGCTCGAGTCTCCGCGTGTGGGAGTTGACTTGGACCATGCTACCTTGCCTCATTCTCTCGGCATAGGGGAGGGAGCTCATTCGCCAGGTTGTGGTTGTGTATTGGCGCGTGGGCGGCGCGGGGGACATCCGGGCGGAGAGGGGCACAGCGAGAAGGCCCCGCCCCATCGGGCGGGGCTCTGGTCGTCCCTTCAATCGATGATGTTCATGGACTGCGGGTCGCGCCATTCGACGCACGCCACGCGGCGGTGGGGTTATGGAGTTAGAGGGGCGGGGGTGGGGAAAGAGCGGGCATTTGATGGGAGACGGCCAGGCAAGGGCGGCAGACGCACGAAATCCTGCTTGGCGCCGGCGCCACCGCCGACGGCCTTGGCGACGAAGACACCGCCCACGACGATGAGAGCCAGACCCAGCACGGCGCCGACGACACTGACCGCAATCACCCAGGCGGCGGTCTTGCCCGGGCGGGTGCCTGCCAAACCCGGCGCGGTCCCGACGTCCGAGCACCACACATACCGGCACACAGGGAAAACCCCCGAGCAGGAGGGGAAAGCACCGCAGAAGGAGGGTCAGCACGAGGGGAGGACGAAAAGCAAGGCCCCCTCCCGCCCCCCCATCGATGGAGGGGAGAGCACTCAAGGCAGGGGGGGAAAAAGGGGCGAGCGAGAGGGAAAGAAAAGAACACAGAAGCATGCGCGCACCGGTACTGCTGCTGGCCCCGGTGGAGTCGTTGCTTGTGCTGTCGGAGGCAGGACCAGACCCACCAGGAGTGGACCCGCTGCCGGGGCCGGGAATCGAGCTGCCGCTGCTACCGCTGCTACCGCTGCTACCGGACCCGGGGACACCGCTGCCAGGGGACGAGCCATCCGCCTCGACACACTGGCCAGCCAGGCCATCGTCCATGAGCCGGGCATCGGCCGGGGCCGGGACCAGGCCCGACGGGCAGGAGGCCAGGCAGTGGCCCTGGTGCATGTAGTGGCCGCGGGCACACAGGTCGCACGTGGCCCCGGCCGAGGAGCACCGCTCGCAGCCAGCCGGGCAGGCGGCACACTCGAGGCCCACCTCCACCGTGCCGGCCGGGCAGAGGGCAAACACACACTGGCCGGTCTCGCGGACCAGCCGGTGCGAGGGCTGGCACGTGGTGCAGCGGTTGGCCTCGTCGCATTGCTGGCAGGCCGGGTCGCGGCAGCGCTCCAGCACATTGTCCAGCACCACATAGGAGTTGGTAGGCCGGCGCTCGAGGCAAAGGTCCCCCAGGCGCCACAGGTGCGACTTGCACCGGGTGCACCGGTGCCCCTCGCGGCAGGTCAGGCAGTCGGCCATGCACCGCTCGCAGCGGCCCTCGGCCGTGGAGTAGCTGCCATCCGGGCAGGCGGCCACGCAGGCGCCGGTGCTCGGGTCGACCTGCGGCCGGGCCGGGTCGGCGCAGGACAGGCAGTCCAGGCGCGGGGCCGCCGTCGGGGCGGGCCGGTACTGCAGGCAGGTGGCGCAGCCGGCCGGACAGGCCTGGCACTCGTCGGTATCCAGCGGCCGGTACATCCCGGCCGGGCAGGTGATCACGCAGCCAGCGCCATCCGGCAGGACCAGCAGCCCGGCCGGGCAGCTGGGGCACTTGTCCTGGAAGGTGTACTTCGGGCAAATGATCCCCGGCGAGGGGACACACTCGCCGGGCACCGTCTCCAGGGTGAAGAGGGGACACTGCTCGACGCAATTGCGGCCGTGGATCAGCAGCCGCGTGGGCTGGGTCTCGCAGACCAGGCAGCGGTCGGCGTCGCAGGAGGCGCACTGCCAGCCGCAGGGACGGCACGTGCCACCGGCGGGCTCGGCCACTGCCTCCATGAAGCCACGGCTGCCCGGGGCACTTGGGTCGATGTAGCTGCCCGAGGTGGAGCCAGTGTAGCTGCCAGAGGCCGAGCCCATGTAGCTGCCAGAGGCGGAGCCACCCCAGCTGCTGGACCCGGTCGGAGGCAAGGCATCGCTCGGGTCAACCGGGTGGAAACCACTCGGGCAGACGGCCACACAGGTGTTGTCCTCGGTCAGGTAGCTGCCCGGGGGGCAGGTGACACAGGTATTGGCACCAGGGCCGAGGCAGGTGGCACACGATTCGTGGCAGCCATCGGCCACGCAGATGTCCTCGCAGGTGCCGCACTCCGGCTTGGGGCAATACTGGCAGAAGTCCTTGCAGCGATCGCACTGCTGGCTGCGCATGGCGGAGAAGGCCCCGGCCGGGCAGTCGGGCTCGCAGTGGCCGGTCCAGGTGTGCTCATTGCGATTGGTCATGGTGTAGCCAAAGCGACAGGAGGTGCAGTCCTCCGGGCCGGGGCCCTCGCACGCCTGGCAGGTATGGTGGCAGGGGCGGCAGGTGTCCGCCGAGTAGGAGCTGCTGCCGCCGCCGGAGAGGCTCGACTCATCGTCCAGGTGCGCGGGGAAGGTGCGGTCCGGGCAGTCGAACTGGCAATTGCCATTGACCAGGGCCAGGGGATTGAAGCAAGCACCGCAGGTGTACGGGCCCAGGCAGTGGGCACAGGCATTGGTGTCGTAGTCGCACGTGCGGCAGGTGCCAGTTTGGTGCTCATTCGGCGGGTACACCTCCAGGAAGCGATGGCTGTGGCAGCTGGTACAGCGGTTCTCCCCGGCACCGGCGCACGTGGCACACGAAGGATGGCAACGCTCGCAGGCCCCGGTGTCCGGGTTGGGGAACTGCCCGCTCGGGCAGGCAGGCAGGCAGGCCCCCAGGCGCAGGGTCAGCCCGGCCACGCAGCCGGTGCACTGGTCGGGCTTGCGGCACTCGGTGCAGCCAGCCGGGCAGGCACGGCAGTTCCGATCCTCCGCGTGCAAATAGTAGCCAGGGAGGCAGGAGGCACAGCGCCCGGGCCGAAGGAGGTCCGGCTGGGAGCAGCCATGACTGACCGGGAAGCACTGGCCCTGCTCGTATTTCCAGGAATCCGGGCACCGGAGGGGGATGCACTCGCCGGCGGCCAGGAACCAGTCATTGGTCAAGCAATTGAGGCACGAGTGCGAGCCATGGCCGGAGCAGGCCCCGCACGAGGCGTCGCGGCAATCGTAGCACAGCCCCTTGTAGGGGGCGCCCGTGGCGTCAAAGCCACCCGGGCAGTAGGGGCCCGGCTGGCACCGGCCGCTGGTGGTCCAGACGCGGGTCATCGGGCAGGAGGAGCACTGGTGCTCGGCCGGGCCGGAGCAAGTCAGGCAGCTCTCGTGGCAGGGCGCACACCGGGCATTGGCGGCATCGACATAGGCCGAGGCATCGCAAAAGCGCTGGCACGTGCCATCCTGACGGAGAAGCAGCCCGGCCGGGCAGGCGGTGCACTGGCGCGGCTGGGCCCGGTCGCATGCCAGGCAATTCGGATGGCACTCCATGCAGCCGGGGGTGTCTGCGTGTTTGTGGGTGTGATTTTGTTTTTCGTTTGTTTTTTTTTCCCCCCCGTGTCAGCGTGCTTGTTGCAAAGTGTGAGGGCAGCCAGGGCGAGGGCATGGGGGTGGTGCACGCACCGGCGATCGAGCAGAAGGGGAAATCCCCGAGGTTGCCGGCGTAGTCGCTGACCGGGATGGCCGGCGGCTCCCAGTAGTAGCTCCCATCGTCCGAGAATGGGTCGGACCCGGAGTAGGAGTAGGACCCGGGGTAGGACCCGGAGTAGGAGTAGGAGCCCGAGGTCGGCGCAGAGCCGGAGTAGGAGCCCGAGGTCGGCGCAGAGCCGGAGTAGGAGCCCGAGGTCGGTGCAGACCCGGAGTAGGAGCCCGAGGTCGGTGCAGACCCGGAGTAGGAGGCGGAGGTGGAGCCGGCCCCGGCGGCGGGAAGGAGACCGGCCAGGACGGCATAAATGCCGATGGCGGCCGAGACCGCGAACCACCGGCCAGCACTACCGCGGCTGGACATGGCGAGCAAGCGGCGAGGGCGCAAGGGACAGAGGCAGAAGGTGGGCGCAAGGGACAGAGGCAGAAGGTGGGCGCAAGGGGGAAAAGGGCAGGAGCACACAAGGGGAAAGGAAGGGGGAGCCCGAGTGATGGGGCTCGGGATTCCGCTCGGCATGCCCGTGGTGCCCCCTCAACAAATGGGGGTGTCATTAGCGCTGGCCATGCGGACCGCCTGCGCGCGGGGGATCAGCCTCGCGGCATGCAGGGCCCCAGCTCCGGGAGGCGCCGTGCGCGTGCTCCGGGCTAAGGCCGCCCGCCCGCCCGCCCGCCCGCCCGCCGGTGCCCCATTCCGGTCCCTCGGCCTGGGCAGATCTCCCCGACCATGGCGAGGCATGGTCACTTCGCCCGGTCCGTCACCCCGACCCCCCCCCGATCGGCGGGCGTATGTGCTCGGAATCCAGGGGCCGCGCGGGGCCCGGGAAGGCATTCCCCGAAGCCCGGACTGAGACGCATCCGGGGGTGTGTTTCTCTGTGGGGGGCCGTGGGAGCACCACCGGGACACCGGAAGATCGCTCCTTGGAGTGGGGGTGCCCCATGTTTCTCCCCGGTGCGGACCGGCACCGGTGCGCGACTTGGCAACTCTGCGCCCCCTTATTCCTGACACGCGAAATATATGCAGGCAACCGGGGGGGAGGGGGGGGGGGGGGGGCGAAAAAAATCCGGAACAGAGCGGGGACCGGGGGGCGATGCGCCGTGAACAAGTCATTTGGGCAAGCAGGAGCAAAGGCGGGCATTGGAGAGGCGGGGGCGGGCGGGGGGTGGGGGGAGTCGCAAAAGCATATGCGCACGCCCTGCCCAATAAAAAAAAGGCGGGCATGCGGGTGCTCGCCATGACTGCCGCCCGGGACTGAGCTTCGCAATGTCTCATGTTCCTACGTTGATCACGGGGCAATCCCAAGGAGGTGACTCTCACGGGTTGACCTTGTCGAAGGCCCAAACCGTCCGAAGTATGCACCGTCACGAGCAAGGCGCGAGGCTCATTATGGTGGGAAGCACGAGGAGGGAGAGAGGGAGGGGAAGGGGGGGGGGGGGGGGGGGCCTGCCACCGCGTGCCATGGTCAGAGAGGGAAGCCCCTGGGGGAGCTGCGAGGCTCCATCTCTGGGCCGGTGCTGCGAGGGGGCAACAAATGGCGGGAGCCCCTGCGGGTGGCCGGGGCCTGAAGGAGGCCAGGAAAGCCGCTCGAGGCTGGGTGCTTCTTCGTGCACGGTCGGCGCGGCTTGGAATGGCGGTGGGCTCAATCTTCAGCATGATTGGCCGGTAAGCACTTTTGTCCCCCCCTGTCCTCCGCTCCCCGCCGGTGCACGGAGGGCCCCCGCACATCGCGACACATCGCCGCACAAGTATACGCACGCCCATGCGCCCATCTACACGCACCTACACGTACGTGCCGTACGTACGTACGTACCGTACACACACACACACACACACATGCATCCACACATACATTCACACGGCGGCGCCCTCGACACAGGGAACACAGCCCCATCTCGACAAAGGCACATTCCATGGCTGAGCACTTTCCGTCTGGCAGGTGGCCAAAGGGCACCGGCGAGAGGACCGCCCAAAGCGCCCCGCCGCCAGGCGGCTGGCACTCGGAAAAAGGACCACATCAAAAGCAAAGGTGGGACACCCGGGATCTGGGCCAAAATCGGGCCTGCGTCAGGGACCGACTCGCTCCGTTCCCGGGGGAGCCACGCACACTGACAGGACAGCGGAATGGCCACAGGCCCCGCAAAGCGAATGACCATCCCTCAAGGTGCCGAGACCTTGGAGGGGCGGGGAGGGGGGCGGCGGAGAAAGGGGCCCTTGTTTCGGGGCGCCCAGGGGGGAGGAAGCACCCAGGAAAGGAAGGATCCATCGGGCTGAGTCGGCTGCATCCATGATGCTCGACGCGTACATCTTCCTTCAGAAGAGGGGGAAATGGCAAGGCGGCTTTCCTTGCCGAATATGCCCGGAGGCGTCATCCCATTGGCAGGAGAGGCGACGGCAAGGAGCCCCACATGGCAGGGAGAGGTGAGACGAGCGCCGAGGAGGTGGACGAAACACAGCTCGGCCCGTTCGTTGGGGGATGACATGGCGCTACCATTTCCACAACACAACCAAAACATTGCCCAGCCGAACCGCCGGCCGCCCCTGTTGCTGCGAGATCTGCCCGAGTCAGATGAGTATCCCCGGGGCCGGTGCGGGGTCCCTCACGAAAATGCCACCCAGAATGGCGACCCTCGCCCGTTCCGGCGTTTGCTGTTTCCTTCTCAGGACCAGCCCAGATGGGCACCACGCGCACTTTCTCCCAGGTCTGCCCCCCTCCCCCCCTCCCCCCAGTATCTCGGGACCCGAGCCCCTCCGCAATCAGCCACCAAATCATGGGGAATCCTCGCCCGCGGGTGCCCATGCATGCCATGCCCACTGTCCGCACCTTCTTCGGCTGCCGCCCTCGGCAGATTCCGGCACCGCCCATCACCCGCACCTCCTGCCTCCCTCCTCCCCTCCCTCGGCCCGATTGCCCTCCTCCTCCACACACACCCACACACACACACACACACACACACACCGCCC